CCAACCTAGACGATTCTATGATTCTATGATTCTATGATATTTTGTGTCAAAGAAAGCAGGAAAACCCACCATATTAAAAGAAGCCAAAACATTCCTAACAAGTAACACCTCCCAATTCACTACCCTTCATCACTGCTACAGAATGGTCACACACTAACTTTGTATCTTTCCGCTCTCCATAGCTGGGCAGGGACAGGGTTTTAAAGAACACTAAGAGATTCTATGTGACTGAAGTCTATTTCTTCCCCTGAAGTAGAATTTTTCTGGACACCTGCATAGTGCCAAAGGTAAACTAGATTCAGCAGAGAAATAGACCTGAGACTTCCAACCCATTCCCACATTAAAGACAACACAAACCCTCCAGCTCCTGTACTGGGCCAGGCCAGCCTAGGTGATTTCAACCCAGTGGAGTATCTTCTCCTCAAAACCAGTGAAGGAGACACTGTAGATAAATATTGTAAAGTCTGTTCCCATCCAAGTCTTACCCTGAACTGATGGAGATCAAACAGTAAATGTTCTCACCAAAAGCAAAGCTTGTAGCTGCAACATTTCCTGTGAAAGTGGTTTATTCACAGAATGTGCCATTTCCTGAATTTCTTTCAGCATTTTTGATTCACTAGTGAAGCTGAATACTTTGTGAGCAATCTAAGGGTGATTTTTTCGTATCAGTAGAAGCTGTAGAAAAATTAATCATAACTGCTTGTGGCAATGTCTAGTATACTATAACTTAGGAAGAATCCTAAGAGGTTTAGAGTGAAAAAAAGGAAACCACTATGTTATAGGACTTGAAACGCATGCTGGCCTCCACTTTCAAATCAAAGCCAGCATTACAAAACATTGAACAGACATTCATAATGCACTGCTGTTAAGGACCAAATAAATGAGCTTCCGTATTTGACTTTTTCAAGTTACATTCTTAGCCAACATAATTCACTCCACACATAAAAGCTACCACTAACAAACACACCTTACTTTGCCAGTTTCTGGATACCTAACAGCAAAGGAGTTCTAAATCACCAGACTTCCATTAGTCCTGGGTTTCTCCTCACTCTGTTAACCATAAATGATTAAGAAGCCCAGTTCACAAAACTGATTGCTTTAAGACCATAAGAGACAAAGAGCCTGCCGAGCCCAGTATTGTGGGCACTGCTGTGCTGGGGAGGAGGTCCCTACAGCCGACTCATGCCTAGTGCCTCAAATTCTCAATAGGTTCATACCCCACAATAACCAGAGTCAACACAGCTGTCCTGGAGCTACCCATCCTGCAACAAGATGCTCTTACAGAGCAGAAAGGCCTAAGGCCTTACTTCAGGTGGGCTCTATTTCTCCTTAAAGTAGGCTGGAGCAACAGACAACAAGAGACTCCGCCTGTGTGAGGCCTGACTAGTAGCAGAAAGCACTGGTGTTCCTGTACAGGAGGGAGGGAGGGAGGTAAGCCCCCCTCTAGAAGCCACATGGGTGGCTTATAGGACACATCACAGTGGCAAAAAGGTTGTACCTACTACTGATTTTAATTGCCTTAAATCTCACTATGAAGCTGATTAAGGCAAAAAACATCCACAAAACCAGTACCAATGCACCAGGATGGTGTGTGCTTAGCCAGTGCGGTTACTGCAGAGTCAGGCAGGATGGATGAGCCATGCTTCGCAAAGATCTGCTTCTGCCATGAGTGGAGGAACCTACTGTATCTTAGAGATAAAAAGGAGAACAGGACCTTATTTTTTCCATACAGAAAAGGCAACTACCAGCAGGAAGCTAACGAGAGCCGCATCTATGTCAAGTCAATGAATGGACAAAACCTTGCAGAAGTCACAGGACCTGACTTTTCCCTGAATAAAGTCCACTCTTACAATGGAATGGACAAGTAGGAGTATGGAACCTCCACGCTCATGGTGCAAGTGTTGACAACACCACGAAACTGTTACATATGCCCTGCCCCTCACAGTGACCACTGCTGGAGGGAAGACATTTCCTAGCCCTGGGTGTTGGCAAGTGGGCTCCCTTCCCTTTGTGGAACAACAAACTATCAACAACACTGTCATGCTTACCTGCTACCTGATGACGTATTTCGAGTAAGAAAATATCTTGATTAATCTATCCACTCTCCCCACAAAAGAAAACATCAGCCTTACGGTAACTTGGCACCTAGGGGAGAGTAAGAACAGGGCAAGCGTACACGATACTACTTCTGCACTCTCCCATCAGCCAACTATTTTCAGGTCAGAAGACTCTGAGCTTGAAGAAATCTGTTTATTTACTGGCAACCCTTCCTTCAGTGGATCTCTTCCAAGTACTTGTCCAGACTCTCCTTGTAACAGTGTACACTTCTTGCATACACAATATTAACTGGCATAGGAACAGCTCTACTACGTGTTGCATGAAGAACTGCATCCTTTGAACTAATTAGCTTATAGCTGCTGTACTGGAAGAGGCAGCAAGTGTTCAACCCCCTCTCCAAGCCATTCAATGACTTTGTAGGTTTCTGTCATACTTTTCACCTCAGTCGTCTCTTCTTCAGTTTTGGCCTCCTCGATAATTCCTCATACAGAAGCAGTACCTTTGTTCAGCCCTGCTGCCCTTCTCTGAACTTCTTGCAGTTTTCTGGATGAAGGGACCAGAAGCGCACACTTTCTTCCTCTGTTGTCTTCCCTCAGGTACTGTAAGATTTTCAGCACTTTAGTGGTGCTAAAAATAGTAGTAGAAACATGCACTTTCATCTAGTACGCTCTCCATTTTAACGTTAAAGTAATTGAAGAAACCAGTAATTATAACTCAGTGTTATTTACTGTGAGTAATTTAACATCAAGATCAGCCATAGACCTATTTTAACAAGCAGACTGTAAGAAGAGGTTGTAACAAAAGCCATCCCCTCAAACTTTTAAAACATAGTTATAAATCATTAGTAGTTTTCAATTACAGAGAAATTACTTTCACAGAAATATGATTTTAGATATCTGTGATGTACTTTGAGGCAAGGACTCAGCAGATTTCTGTAGAATAAAGAAATACATCTGGGAGTAACATCTTAGGGCTACATTTGATATGCACATTTAAGTAACAACCAAAAAACCGAATCCTGTAGCCGAGCGTGCTAACAGTTACGCCTTACTAATAAAGAGCATGAGGATCTATTCCTCTTTAAAGTACACGTAAATCTAACGTCTGTGCAAGTTAACAGGCCAAAATTCCAAACCAGAAACAGATACAATGATTACAACTAGCATGCAGAACAACAACCACTTAAGATTTACATTCTCAACTGCCAAAAATGCACTTGGGTGCAGCTGTCGTTTATATTTATTGTATGACTAACCCTTCTAGCCTCCCTTCTTACCACCATCTTTTCTGATCCGTGCCTGGTCCCTCACGTAACACCTATGTATCCATGCACTTAAGAATACTTGATTCTTATTCATGTCAAGAAAACCATTTGCACAAGTGAAGTGATACTAATGAACTGTAACTCTGCTTTCCTCCTCACTTGACTTGCTCTTTTTCCAACCCTGTACTTAAAGAATTCTTGTGACCTACACGCAAACATCATGTCTTTTACATTTGTTCAGTAAGGGCTTTCTAATTCTAAATAATTAGGGTAAATTCCTTCCAGTCAGTGGCAAGCATTCACTGCTGATTGGTGGGATGCTATCATTTTTAGACATGGAAGGTGTTGAGAGCAGGTTGTGTGTGAGACCAGCACTTCTTTCTTGAACCGTAAAAGTCTGAAAACAAAGGCTGATATCAGTCTACAAGGAAATGACCTGTTACTCCTCAAACAAGGTTGTGGTGCTAGAAGCAGCTCCAGTATTCTGTGTATTCAGAAAGCCTCAGCTTGAAGTAATTCATCTTTTCAGTTATATGCACCTCATCTATGATCTCAAATAAAAATGACAACATTTTAATGAAATATCTTGATACTCAGAAACCTCACTTCCCTTTTATCTTGGTTAGCAGAATGCCTGCAGCAGAGACAGTTCTAGATGTACTGGTAGATACCCCTTTCAGGGCATAGCCTGGCAAACAGCTTTGAACAGAACCTGCCACTGACCCCTAACTCTCTTCTCCAGCTGCTTGTTCCTACTCTAGCACTGGACATTTAACTGTGCCAGCGCAGCATTTGTGCAGCTACATTGCAAACCAGATCAAGGAACGGATCCAAGGACAAGTAACTCCACCAGAATTATTCTTTTTTAAATCCCGATCGGTGCCCTGAGGTCAGCTACCAAGCAACTGCATAAACCTGCTGGCATACCAAAGGGAAAACCTGTTGCTACAGACTTAAGAGTAGCAAAGAGCACAGCCAATGCTACTTGCCACCTATCATCGTTCACACTCAAAATATATTATGGCTGTTAATTAGCATTCCTTTCAAAGCCTGTACAAGACAGTTTGCCAGAGGCTGCAAGTCAAGAAGTGAGATATTTCTAAGACTCTAAGGGATAAGAAAATGCACATCTAGTCAGTACATGCAATATAACATGCACACGCAAATGTGATCAGTTGCCATAGCGTGTGAATTAACTAACAACACCAAAGTGAAGGATTCCATCCACCTCTTTACCACAAGTAAGAAACTTTTCAGAACAATCGGAAGCAGCACAATACTACAGTGACAGTCGCCATGGTGAGACTCCTGCTTTTGATTAGAAATTAGTTGCCTATACTAAAACCCCAAAACCCAACCAACACCCTCCCCCTTTCTGGAATCACAAAAGTGAACCCATGTGATACTGGACTTGGAAAATTAAGGTTTCCCAAGCAACGCCAGAATGGAAACAGAAACACCGATCAGCTTTCAGGCTGCTCTTTAGAACAGGACTCAGCTGCACTCAGCCTATCAAGTATCGATTTCACCCCACCACCCGGGCAAACCACACAGAAAAAACATCTTAAACTCGGGGATCAGAAGACAAGAGTATCTGAGAAACCCCAAGCACGGCAGGGCTTTGAGACAGAAATAATACGCTTTAAGGA